TCATGAAGACAAATGTAGTGACCTTGCTTAGTGATAAGGCATGAAGATAAAGTAGTGTTGGATGAAATAACGGAAAAAAAATGCCAAGAGAAACAAAGGTGTGTGTGTGTCTGTGTGTGCGCATGTGTGCATGTTTGTGGGAGTGTGCAAGACAAAGATGGGAGAATAGACAGATGGAGTGATGAAGAGAAAGGGTGACAATAGTGAGACAGAAAGAATGACAAAAGGGTGATGAGACAAGCAGCCACAGATGTGGCTCAATACCGAGAACGCCAGATAAACAATAAGAAAAGAAAACAGAGGCAAGACAATATGAAACTTGACACACATGTTTGGACTGACCTACCTAATGCTCTCTCTTCAAGATTTCCAAGATCAAATAGCTTCTTACCCCCTGGAACTCTTGTTTTTGCTGACCACTTGTAGTTTCTGCAGGGTTTCACCTAATACACTGAAATCACTGATAAGTGTGATTTGTTAGAGGTGCAAGATCAACAGGAAGAGGTGAAGAGTGTTGCCAAGTTAGCTGTTTTCTTCCTAGATTGTGACTTTCAATACCTTTGCTCTTTTGTGAACAAGTTATAGTGACAAAAGTATTCTACTTGGGCTGGTATTTGAGGAGAGGAGAACTATATTTTTTAAAATAAGGTGGTCAACCAAAGAGCCAGACAGATGTGTAAATAAGCTGTACGTGTACCTACCTCCTGTCCACAAGTTTTTCATTTTGAACTTTAGCTTGACCATTTAAATTCAATTATTCTTTCTCAAAGAACACATTTTAGCAGAGTGGGTAAACTGTTTTTAGATTCTTCCATGACTCTTCCACGACAGCTCAAATATATATATATTTTTAAGTTACAGGTGAATAATCTGAAGCAATTAAAACACTTTATAAAATTATAATAACTTAAGCTAAAGCTAGCTAACTTGAATTTTTGACCTGAATCAGCCACGAAAAGTTCTTCTGCAGGCAGTCGTGTGACCTGCCAGGAGGTCCCTCCAAAGCAAGCCTTGACTCTTAGCAAACATCTTGGTCAGAGAGCAGTGTGATTATATGGTCAGTTATTTTGACTACGCTTTATAAATGAGTGGGGTGGGTGCAGTAACATGAATTTTAATGGTCTCTAGAATATTAAAAACTCGCACATAATTAGCAGTAATAGTAAACACTGCTTAAAAAGTTTGTCTCAAAATGAGATTTAAAGATTCATTTTGGGTAGAGAAAATCAAGAGAAAATACTAATTAGGCACACTTACATCTTTACTATGATAACAAGTAGATATCTCTCTCGACACCCATTTGAGGCTGTTGAACCTCTGCTGTCCAATTTTGTATTTTATTGAATGTCTTTTCATGTGAAAGCACACATCCACTACTCTTTCTATTGCTGGATCTTGGACTCAGCCAGGGTAGCCCATTGTCACTGATTCTATTCATGATTTTTTCATGACCAGAATTTATAGATGCAGCTGTGGAGGGTGTTAGCTGCCTTGGTCTCAGAATGTCATCTCTGCTTTTGCAGATGATGTGGTTCTGTTCAATTCCATTTTATTCATGTAGCACCAAATCACAACAACTGTTGCCTCAAGGTGCTTGTTACCCTCATCAAATGACCTCATACAGGGCAGTTTCCGGCCGAGCGTGAAGTAGCACCTGCGGAACAGGCTGAGACGATACACCATGCTCAGGTGGACTGGCAGACACTGGCAAGGCCACTATTCCTTTCTCCACCAATCCAGACACAAGAGCAGCTTTCAGCTCAGCCTTACGCAGAGCTGTGGAGACACAAATGCCATAAAATGCTGCCACCTCATGCAAATCCCTCTTCTTACAGGCGTCCAGCTGGACGCCTGTAAAAAGGTAGGTAGCCATTCAAAACCACAACAAAAAACTACCTGAGGCTAACAATAACAACAAAGAAGAACCATCTCCAACACGCAAATCAAAAACAGGTGGGAAATATGTGTGGCCACAGGTTAACCAATAAATAAAAATACCACCGACCCTCTCCCCAGACCTACCTACTAAAATCTTAGCCTAGTTAGCTTCTGGAGTGTACCAGGCTCGAGGCAACTTTAAAGGCTAAGCATCAAGTGCACAAAGCATTGACAAGCCTACCCCCGACAGGGAACTAAACATCACCCGCGATTACTCCAAAAATAAAAAAGGCAAAATAAAAAATGAGTGCCTGAAGGAGGAGCTGACGCTCAGCTAGACACTGTGCTAACCGGAGAGAGAGCGCAGCAGATACAATACAACCAAATAAGCCACTGGCAAACAACTCACTAATACTCAATTGCTCTTCCTTCCATTCATATCCCGGACGAGCCCCCACATTGTTACGTCCCCACAATGAAGGTCCAGGGGTGTGTGTGGGGACTGGTAACAAATTGGTACAGAATGAAAGGAAAACAGACAGAGGTGTTTAGTAAATAAAATAGTTTTTATTATAGATAAACTTAACATAAAGAGCCGGCAATGCCGTTTTACCAATAACACTAGAAAAAGAAAAAGGTCGCAACAACAAAGAACATAACAGCCACACTACTCACGTGAAGCAGCTACACTGCTTCCAAAACTCCACACTATAGGATCACCTTCGACACACAATGTGGGAACACCAGAGAAAAACCACCCTCTCACATCCAGTTCATCCCCAGTTTCTATGACCTCAGAGAGGTGTTTGCTAACTGGGCCCAGGTGGTAAATGAGGCCAATGAGCAGACGCTGTGTCCTGGGAAGAGAGAAGAGCAAGAGAGAGACAGAGGGGTGGAGCAAGAGAGGAAGAGGCGGAGAGAAAACACCACACCCACAGAAGGGCGGTTTCAGGAGGCCCAGCTAGGGCCGTAACAACCTCCTAGTCTGGTTCTCAGCTCCGACTTTGCGTTGGAATTGAGTTGCTGCCCAAGTGGAGTAGTATCTCTCATTCACAAGAGAGCGAAGGAGGGCGTGTGGTACTGGTAGACATAATGGTGCTGGATTGGTCTTTTGCGATGACGAAACAGCTGAGCGTGAAAGCTGAGCTGATTTACATTTCCATCTTCATCTAAGGCAACTAGTTGTGGTTAGTGACCAAAATCTCAGTCATTCATTCCCAAACCACTTCAACCACCAGTTGACTTCAAAGTGGGACGTTTTGGGCATGGCTAGCCTGGAGTAGGCTCTGGGGTAGACCCAGGACAAATGGATAGAATAGCTTAGATAGCTCAGTGTCTCACCAGAAGAGCTGAAGGAGGTGACTGGGAAGAGGGTAGACTGAGGCCCTCACAGCTAGAACTCGTAGAAGCAGTATATGATGGTTGGAAGAATGGATGGATCCTTCTAAGGATTGAGATCCTTATCTCGCTCTCCTCCTCTCTTATAATTATTCTGTCTGCACTGACTTTCCATTTTATTGTAGTTAAGCTAACATAGCTGTCCTAGTTTGAAACTGGGAGAAAACACAAAGAAGAACTTGCTAAAAAAACAAAAACTTTGAATGTGAAAACAAATCTGACTATTCACTGTACTTAAGCATGATGGCTTTTTCCAGGTGTCTGCTTTATCACAGCCTGCTTGTTTTGCGTTTAGCCATTATTTGCAGAGAGCCAGCTCTGCACAGAGAACAAAGCTGAAAAGTTTTTCTTGAGACAGAGAGATAGACAGATATACATCTAGATAGACAGACAGATAGGAAGGCAGGGAGACCGGCAGCAATCACAGAGCACAAACACTGCAGAGGTCAATGCTATCACGGAAACGAGCGGTTATTTCGTAGCATTTCATCATCATCATCTATCTCGGTCGCTTGCGCTCTCTCCCTCTTTCATGGCTGGATTTCTCATTGATGACAAAGCCATTTATGTCTCTCTTATTCCCCCTTCTCGCCTCCCTCCTCTTTATCCCCCCCATTCCCTTTCCTCTCCCTTCTGTTCCTCCTGGTCTCTCTCTAACTCTCCTCGCTATTTATGCTTCCTCTGTTTTATTTTTCAGCTTTTTTTTCCCTCTTGCACTTTTCCTCGTCTCTCATTCTCAATTTGCGTCTCCTTTCCATTCTCTCTTTGCTCTTTGTCTTCCTTTGCCTCGTTTGCACTTGCATCTCTATTTTTTACTCCTCTCGCACCTCATCTTCGTCACTCGTCCTTCTCCTCTCCGCCTTACATCATTTTTTCTTTCTCTAAACACCTCTCCCCCTCCCTCCTCCTTCTTCTCATTTTACCTTTCTCTTTCCCATGATTTAAATTCTGCGGATCATCTTTCTTACTTTCCTCTTTGCTTCTCACTCTGCCCTTCCCCTCCTTGCTCATCCTCCTTAGCGCACTTTCTTTCTCTCTTCCCACCTCCTGTTTTCCTCACTTCAGCTCCACCACCCCTTTCATTATTGTTTCTTTTCGTACTTTTTTCGAACTTGTGCATTTGCTGTTCCCCCTCATATATTCCTTACAAACATTTATCAGCCTTTTCTTTCCTTCATCTTCACCATTACCTTCTTAACTATTCATTTCTCTTCTCTCCCTATGTACCTTCCTTTCTAACTCATTCCCCTCCTTCTAACTCCCATTTTCTTGTTCTTTCAGTCTTTCTCCCTACTGTCTCACCTCTTGCACACCCTCCTCTCTATCACCATCCTCCCTGCTTCACTTTATTTTTTTTAACTGTCTGTGACGGTATTCTTTCTTCCCATACCTCTGTCACCTCCCTCCTTTTTTCATAATTTCTTTTATCGCATCCTTTTTCCTTTCCATTCTTGCCTCTTTCCTTTTCTCTGCTGTGTTTGATCATGCTCCACTCTCTTCTGTCTTCTTTCTTTTTTAAAAAAAATTTCTTTCTCTTTTATTTCATTAAAAAAAGAAACCCATATATAGCAGTCATTGGAAAAAAAAAAACCACTATTTCGCTCTCTAACTAAAGTTTAAAGGCAAAAATAACTGATAAATCAAACAAACACAGCTAATACAAGCTAAATCTCCTCAAACACTTCATAAAGTACATTTCTAATAATTGATATTCTCTTCCTCAGCGCTGAGAGACAACCGCATCCAGCTGTATCGCTCGACATCCACCGAGCTTTCCATCACCATCTCGGAGGTGCAGCTGTCTGACGAGGGAGAGTACACCTGCTCCATCTTCACCATGCCAGTCCGCACCGCCCGCGCCACCGTCACAGTGCTAGGTGGGTCACAAAAATATGTATAAAGCACACACTGTCAGAAACTGCTTTACCTTTGATACTGTCAAACATATTTTTATATGAACTTATCCAGAAAGAAACCTGTGGATTTTTCATGTCTTAACTTGGTAAAGAGATAAAAGGACAAAAGTATAAAAGAAAGACGCTTTGCTCATTTTTTGATTTCAATAAAACCTTATTTGCTATAAGTCTAACCTTCCTGTCTCCTGTATGTCCTTAGGTTTTCATATTTTTCATATTTCTCTGTCTCTTGTAGGCTTTTCTAAAATATCTCTTTGTTCACACTCAGGGCTAATGGTCCACAATGGCATTCTTGTCTCCATTGTTCACCCTCAGCTTGCCTCTTTTGAGGCTGATTGACATTTGTACAAATCAGCTTGACTGCAGTCTGTCTTAATTTGTGACAAATTAAAATGGATTATTCAAAGCTTCTGACATATGCTATTATCACCCCACTCAGTTTTCAAGTTGTTTATTCCCACTTTCATGGGAAATACTACTACAAATATTCCAAGCTGCATTCAGAGTGCACATTCAGAAAGTAAACGCAGGTGTTTTAAATTGCAGAAAAGTCCAACTTGACTTGTCGAGCTGTAAACAACTGGCTTCAATTCATCTTGATACATCGCCGTGGTATTTTGCTAGTGCGACCTACTCGCAGAGTTTACCCCCATGCTAAATGAAATTTTCCTTTGTTAATGTCAAACTTGCTTGCACTGGTACGCTAGCATTTTAATGCTGAATCTTCCCAAAGTTTGGTGAATGATTGAATCAAATAGAATGTGTTTAATTTGTGCAGTAAAAGACAGAGAGATCCCCACCTTTAGTTCAGAGTATAGATGAAGTTGGAAAAGCACCTAAAACAACCATTTCCCATTAAGCTACCCAACTTCAAATCAAAAGGTCTACTCTGCCAATCTTCTGTGCCACTAAATAAAACAAGAAAACATGTTTAAATATTTAACATAACATCTGAATGCTAGTACTCAATAGTCTTCCATGTAATGGTTTCATACTGTTGCTTAAATCTGTGCATAAGGTTGTGGAGATATTATTGAGAGATATTATTGCCAATAAATCAAAGAATTAAAAACATCCAGATTTTCCAAAATTGAAATAAAGTTTAGGTCACCAAAAAGTGAAAAGTTATGCAAGTTTAACAGAACAGTTTGCACAATGATAAATGTGTTATCTTCCAGTTCCTACAGGTGTCCCAGTGTTTGCTGCTTTGTTTTTGCTTCTGTCCACTTCATCTCAAACCAGCTCAATGACTTTTAAGTCTGGTCTTCCATCATTTAAAGACTACCATCTAGTTCTTTTCTCCTAATGTTTTGGGTCATTACCTTGTTGTAGAATGAGCCCCGGATAAACCAATGTGTCTTCCGCTGCCTTTTTCCCACCATTTGGACAGCAGTATACAGTACTAAAAATACACCAGTGGGTGTCATAACAGTTTCTTTCAACATTGCCCTCATATGGACACAGGTTTAGGTAAGTGAGCTGGGGCATCTATAAGAACTGTTAATTTAGTTCCACAGCTACAAAGCATTAGATGAATAGGTTTGTAATCAGTGAAAGAAGTGTGTTTAATCGGAAATTGAGCTTTTAAAACTTCTTTACCTTACTTTTCTACATTTTGGTATTTTTACATTGGAATTAAGCTGCACATATTAGCCCCCCCCCCCCCAAAAAAAAGTCAAAATAAAAATAAAATTGAATACATTGGTGCAATCTGAAGGGTAATGCAAGTGTAATGAATGCCTGCAGCCTTGAATAAATTGCCATCATCCCGTCAGTGGAGAGTAGGCTGTTTTATTGATTGGATATTGGCGTAATTGGCTTTGGACGCTCTTTCAGGTATTGACTTTTATTAGCTGAGTTTTTACTGGCTCTCTGTGTCAGCTTATTCTGTCTATATTTAATGATTTTACTTTGCATGCTTGGCAATAGTGGAATGCACCAAGGCATAAACAAAAGATAATTATTTTATACATGGAAAAAGCAACTGGCGGGATATTTCTGGGAGGCAATGATGGACAAATTCACAGCCAACACTTAAGGGCATCTAGTGCCACTTCTAAATTGGTGTGTAATGAATTTAAGTCATTATTTGTGCTGAAAACTCTCACATTAGTATGTATTCAATAAAGTGGACTTCCATTATTTCATTTTGCATTTCCTTCTAACATGGAGATAGAATTAATATTTACTGTAAGTTAATTTGTGATATTGATGAGATGCAATTTCCTCTCGCTTTTGATTCAGCACTTTATAATTTGCCAGCAAATTCCTGGCTGAAAAACCAAGCTGCAGAGGGTTTCGGCCTAATTCTCTTGGAGAATGCACTTAGTGGAAACAAGAGATTTACATTTAGGGTGGGGCATGATTGCTCTGTGATTGTTCTGTGGCTCAGCGGGCAAAGGCTTTTCCCCCATATTTGAAATTAGTCAATCAACAACACCAAAATGATGGATTCAATCACTATTGTTGAAACGTATCCCAAATGTTTTGTCAGTGCTACAATATTGAAAATAATAAAACCTAGTTCCCCTGGACAACATAAGCAGTGTGCTCAATAATGATTTTTTTTAATTCATATTGGGGGGGGGAGGTATACTTTGAAGCAAGCATGAGGGCGGGTCCACTTGAGCTCTTAAGAGCCAAATTAACATGAGAATCATTTCTCAGTATTTACTTAAATTTTGCAGTAATTGTGTTTCAAGCATCTTTTATTCTCTGTAATTGACGGCTGTGACACTGTATTCTGCGTTCAATAAATATTTCATGGCTCCTGAGAGGGAGCAAACCCATTAAAAATGTATGGTAAAATGTCTAAAAAAACGCATGGACCCCCTATGGGAAAATCAAGCAACGATATCGAGTTTTGGCAGAGCAGCATTTGTGTGTGCATGTTTCATCCTTGTTTTGACTTGTTCTGACCGTCGTGCACAATCACACATCAGCACATAACTGGTGAGCGTGGCCAGTTTGCATGTGTCTGTGAGAAGGAAACGTGTGGCATGCCTCCGCTCTTGAGCTAACCATAGAATAATTTATAATGGCTTTATTCTCTTTTATTCTACTTGTAGAGGAAAGGGTCTCAACAGGACTTCTCCAGCCAATTCTATATATCCAGTATTATTCCCTTATTAATATTCAATGCTACTTTACTGCCAGAGAGCTTCTGCACACAGTGCACTACATCAAATACCGCTACATTAAAAATTGACCACATTTTTTTTAATGTATACCATGGCTAGTTCACAGCACTTTTTTTTGACACTTCTGTTCGTCTTTTTGCAGTGGTTTGGACAAAATACTATAAATACATTCTGTTAATCTGTTTTCTGTCATTTGCTGTTTCCTGAATTTTATAAATATTTTGGAACAAAAAGTAATAAAATATAAATTTTCTTTCTTTCCTTTATGGCCTGGTCCTAAATCCATCTAAACTGTTGGCTTAACCATCTCCGCTTTCTCTCCTGCTATATAAGCAACTCTGTCTTTCCTGCCTTAATGCATAAGAAGGCAGTTTGCAGTCAAACCGAATGTTTATTATTTGCAAAAGCAGAATGACAGTAAGCGCCGCCAACATTTAGAGAAATGTGCCGCTCGCAAAAGCTGCAGATGGTGTATTGCAAGTTTAGAAATTTTTCTCCTCTTACCTTCAGCCATGGTGGTGAAGAAAAGTGGATACTGAAATATTTGGCAGAATGGATGTTTAGTCTTTTTTCTGCTTGCATTGTTTTCACTTGTGCTCCAAGTTAAAATAGCAGTTAAGCAAAAAATGTGTTTAACCAACTGTGCCAGAATCTGGAAGAACACCCTCTGGGAGAGTAGCATGAAATTTTGGTTTGGCAGCAGGGCATCTGGTGTTTCACTTGGCTAAAGTTTTTTGTTTTTTTTTCACCTGACCTTTGGCTCATGCTGTGTTTCTGTCCCTCTCTTTCACTCCTGTAAATGGTCATCCAGGCCACCAGTATTCTTGCACAAATTGCGTTCACCTTGTCTTTTAGATAATGAATCCTGGAAGTTGCAATTAATATTGTATGCAAAATATGATCTACTTGACATTATGAGCTGACCTGAGAATGAATGCAATGCTGACTGAAACTGTAGAAATACATACATGCAGAACCCTTGCTGCTGATTTTGAAGGGATAATGCGTTATTATTATTCTCACTGAATTAATTGCTTTTCCATGATCATCAGTAGACAGCCGTCGTGCCATTTGGGGCTTCACTGCGACTGTTGGAATACTTAATATGTGTGCCACAAGTACTGTTGTAATGTTAAGTTAATGAAGGATTTAATCGTTTTCCTTTGGGAATATTTTCTTCTATATTTGGTTTCTGTAAGCTACCGTCGTGTTTTGAAGTCTTGTTAAAAATGTGGTGAGCGTTTCAAATTTTTCATGAGACTGTGAAATGCGCAGGAGAATATGACCCTTTTTTGTGGATAAAGAGAAAAATTAGACAGAGTTAAGGGTTTGTTGTATGTTTTTTGTGTAATTACCCAGTGAAATGTGTTTTGCAGTTAATTCAAACATAAATTTAAAAAACAAAACACTTTTGTTCTTGTAATTGATTTACTGTACACTTTTTTGCAATAAAAGGCATTGCTATAAATTTCCTTACAGCCCCATGCATGAGGTGGGTCCTTTGGCAGTTTTATAGAGACGAGTTTCTTTCCGAATGTTCTAAAATGTATTGTTTGTGCTAACACCAACATCTATTTCATCCGAAGTATTTTCCCCTCACTGCATCAAATACTGGCCTTCTGTCAGATGCTGATCGTGTCCCTCTCGGCGATATTGGACACTGATGGATCACGGCCATGTTTTAAAAAGTGATAATGTCTGCTTTAGGAAGCTGCAAAGTTGGAGGTTTTCGCAGGTTTCTTAGCCAGGAGACTGCAGTTTGTGTCCCATTTGGAATGCTGTGCTTTGCATTTTTTCCTTTATTTTCCCTCACCGATTTGTTATCATCTGACTCATATCCACTAGTTTAGATACTTAAAACTGCTGGCCTTGGTTCAGTTGGGTTCAGGAAAATATTGTAACATGTGTTAAAGTACATGGCTAGGCTGCTGCCTCTGCGACTCTGCCCCGGATAAGCGCAAGAGAATGGATGGATGGATTGTGTTAAAGTATACCCCTTCACAACATCAACCCTGCAAGTTGAACAATTACACTGGTCATTTAAATATGACACAAGCATCCCTAAGTGACGGGTTGGGAGTGAAAGATGTGAGACACCAGCAGCTTTGACGAAAACGTCAGTATTTGACAGCCTAGTAATGAGAATGAGCTGTTTAGTCACAGCAGTTCACCAACTGAGCTTAAATGCTTCTGCAAGTTATGCCATCTTACTGCTTTTCAGACAGGCATGCAGATTTCTTGTTTTCTCATTTTATTTTAAAAGACAAAACAAAAAACTGAGATATTTGCTCTGGGAAGCTGGAACTGGGGGAGTGTTTTGCCTCTGGGCTGCAAACATTAAACTCGGATGCCCATTCAGCCCAAAGAGGTGTAACTGTGCTGTGTTTAGCTAACAGAAGCAAGTCACTTCCTTCTGAGACTGAAACAGTCATTATCTGCACATCCTAATTGGCCGCCTGTTAGCAAAACTGGAGGGAAAAAATGTCTAGTGCACCAGTCATGGCAGATACTTATAATAGAGACAGCATGTTCTGATTCTTCTGGAAGGTCAGAGCTGCTGTGAAATGGTTACGAACCATATTGGGTGCAAATCATAGCAAGCCTGCATCATTATTTTTCTCCCAGCTGGATTCTATCAGAGCTTTCCAAGTTGCCCAAATAGATTCAAGCTTGTCTGCGATATTGTGGATGCTGCTTCACATTTTGCTGATAGGCCACAACTTTGCAGACACATGCAGTACTTGTTAGAAACTCAGCAACTGGCCTTAATTTTACAAGGTTAGCCCTGCTGCATAAAAGTCTTCTCCTTCTCTCTTTCTAACTCTAAAACTCTTTACTCTTTAGGTGTGCCCGGCAAGCCTCAGATCTCAGGCTTTGAGCATGCAGTGAAGGAGGGGGAAAAAGTCACCCTGACCTGCACCAGCACTGGCAGCAAACCCCCCGCCACGTTGCACTGGTACAAAGGAGACCAGCTGCTGAAAGGTGAGAGATACGGACAGTGCGTGCAATGCTTTGTGTCTCTCTTTATAATTTTGTGTTATGTGCACGAGGATGTTGTGAGGTCAAGAAAAATGTGTGTTGCACATGTTAGTTTTTGTACTCTAGCTTGTACTCCTGGTGAGGATTGTATGGGTGTGGCTGTGTGTTTGTTTAGGAAAGCTTGTGTGTCATTATGCAGCTGGAAGGATACTCTGAAGGAATGCAAGGATGTGTTTTTTACTTGTGGTGTGTTTGTGTGAGGTTTCTGTGGTCACAAGTGTTTATGGGTGACTGTCATCCTTGATTGTACGCTGTGTATGGGTATTTGCAAGCGCGTATGCGACATTGGTGCGCATATGCCTCACGTTTGAGCATTTGCAAGATCATGCTGCGTGTGTATTGCGTCCTTGCCATATTGCCTGCTGTCTCTCTGTGTGCCCTGAACCTGTGTGTGCATATGTGTGTGTGCATGTGCGAGAGCAAGCTGCTTGTGAGCCCGAGTCCAGAAACGTGCTGCGTGTGTGCCCTTCTTTCCCATCATTCGTTCACACATGTGGTGGCTTTTATTATATTTTGTGTGTGTTGTTCCATAGCTTATTTGCACAAGTGCACGTGTATGTTGAGCCGCAGCATATCTGCAACTGGGAGTGACACAACAGAGAGCAAGAGATAGCGTGGGTCGGATCTAGCTAGGGATAACGAAAGAATCCAGCAATAAAAGGCAGGGCGGAGGAGAGGATGAAGGGATGAGGTTGAACAGAGAAACTGAGGTAGGGAGAGCTTTGCATGAGGTCAGGCTGACTAGTCTTTTGTTACAGATAAACGGGAGAAATGAGAAGGGAAGAAAGAGGAAGAGGCACAGCAAAGACAGAGAGGATGTCATGAGAGGACAAATTAACTGGCTTCTTCCAAACAGATAAGCTGAAAATCAAGGAGACGATTGGCAGCTTCTGACTCACAGTGGTATTGGCCGTGCTTTCGTTTCTCCAAATTGCAACCATCTTTCCCATAACCCCCCCTGCTTCTTGTTTCTAAATCAGTCAGAGGTTTTCTGTTTTGCTTTACCGAGCAGAACAAACATGTTTGAAGTGTTGTTTCTGTCGCCCTTTCGCTCCTTCCTCCATCTGCCCTCACACGAAAAAAAAAAAAAAACTCTGTAAGCTTTAAGCTCTCATTGTCCTGGAAGAACAGCGCTCTCTGTCTGTCGTCACAGCTCTCCAACAGATGGCGCAAATCCTACTTTATATACAGTGCGCTGCGGTGTTTACACTGGTGAATCGTCTTTAGGAGGCTTTTTTCCAGTAATTACATTAATATAATAAGATAAAGATTTATTGATGTAAAAATGGACGCTCAGGCTTTGTAATGCAAAAATGCCCATCATTTGCCCTGATGCTTTGGCACTGTGTTAGTGTTTGCTATAATTATGGATTGAAAGGACTCAAAAGAATGGACTAAAGCTACAAAGTGAAGGAGTAATGGGAGAGCTGCCCGCCTGAGGACAGATTATCTGGTCCTTTTGTTACAGCTGAACTAAAAGCAGGAGACAGAAAGGAAGGAGATTGTTGCTTTTTAGAAACTGGATTTCTGTTTAAAGGCTCACTTCACCCAAAATACAAATAGATGCTTTTTTCCTGTATGTACCTGTAATGCCACTTCAAAGCATTCACAGCCCAAATACTGCCGTTCTGTTTGATGCCACTGCCATCACAGAGATACACACAATATTGTCCTTGTCACTAGTGCCATTGTATACAGAGAGATAGCACTCCTTTTTTGCAAAGTGGCAACATTTCCATTTAGAGGCTGGAGTGGTGGTCACAAGTTTGCCGGCCAGGCTTGGGACTTTATTTTTAACTTTAATGTCAATTGCTTATTGGATTGTCTTCCTCTTGCATTTTAATTTTGCTTTTACTTCATAATTATCATTAGTAATAAATCTTTGCCTTTTTTTTTTCTTAAATAAAAGGTTGCGGTAAGGTTTAAATATGTCCCTTTCTCAACATAAGTCCTGCATATCATCTAATGATGCTTATCCATTGCTTTTAAATGCAACGGCAATGAGAACAGGCTAGCTACACCAATAATTTTGGTCTTATTTGCCCAGTTTTTGAGATAAACACTGTAAGTGAATGTTATTTTGTTTGTAGCGCTCTATTGCGTATATTAGAGCAGGGCGATATGACCAAAAATATTTATCACGATATACATTTGAAAATTTGCGATAACGATATAACTGACGATATAATTGACACTAGACAAAATACTTTACAACTCCACAACTTTATTAGTGCAAAAAACCCCATCAGTGTATTTTCACTTAAACAAGCAGCTGTTTTTTATGTGCATTAAAGTTATATAAAAATATAACAGTGCAAATTCCTCGCTGACAGTTTAACCAAAAGGCATTTCCAGTGGAAATTGGCCGACATATCCTCAGCATAACCATGTATAATATCCACAAAACTTAAAAAGAGGTTATACACACACAACATGGTAATATTATGTTGAAGCACAGTACGTATCACTCCGCGAGGCTCCTGCCTACGATAGCCGTAATGCTCCGACAATCCATCAAGCGGTGCGGGTTCGTAGCTTAGCAAAGTCGTACTAAAACATTTGACAGATTTTCAAGCGTCGTGTACATGAAATCGTTTTGAGGTCAGTAAACACAACCAGAACTCATACATAAGGCACACGGGATTATAAGGGGCACTGTCGATTTTCAGAAAAATCAAAGGATTGATTTTAAGTGTGTCGTATTTTCCAAACAACACAGTAATAACGACGGCCCGCTAGCATGCTCTACCAAAAATAGTACTTTGTTGTGTATCTGATGGACGAAAGCTAAACCAGTTCCACACCACTGAAGTTGCAGCATTTTTACAAACCAATTCTGGTTCATCCGTTTCATTCAACGATCCACTTTTGCTCTTCTCATTCTGCGTCACCGCCATGTGCGTATGTAAACAAAGGCACTTCGCATGCGCGTTTTACCCATATTCTATCGCGATTTCATTTTCCTATCGTTGCCCGGAATTACACCGGTATTACCGTGAACGGTATGATATAGCCCAGCCCTAGCGTATATGTTTCATTTAGAAATTCAACAGCAGCATGTCTTTCCACAGACATGGTGGCGATTTCATATGCTAAAGAAACAGTCGTATCCCCGGGAGTTATGTATTTGCATTGCACATAGCCACACTGCATGATTTACATACATAGTGTTTAATGTCATTCCACAGAGTAGGGAGGCTTTTACACAGCAAGACGGAAATTAAAGGTGTGGAAGTTCTGAGACTTGATAGAAAGAAAGTTTGTATTCTGTGATTTGCTCATTTCACTGTCATCAGAACCTTTCCCAATTCTTGTGTGTGTGTGTCTTAGCTATATGCACATCTTAAATGGCCACTCTAGCAGACTTCTAGTGGAAAAACAGAATGTTACGTGACTCAAAACTGATGCATTCACAATTTGTTCCATTTATGGGCTAAATTCTGAAATACTTCATCCTATAGTTCCCATAATGCAATATAAAGGTGTTGTTCAGACTTTCTTATTCCTGCTAAAGCCACATGGTTGTGGTTAAATAGTCAAATTTTCTTAGGAAGGTTCTCAGCTGAGTGACCCAGAAGTGTCAGACAGAATAACATGTTCCATAACATTCTCCTGATGTTATGGTAAGGTGTTTTTGAGCCTCTGTTATCTCCTGTAGCACTGGATACTGGGCCATCCTTTATAAAAGGTGAGCAGATAATGCTGTCCTAGAATTCAAAGTGACACACTATCAGACGGCGCAGGAACAGAAACAATCAACATAATTGACAAGCTAGAGATCATCATATAATTTACTGCTGTCTCCCTCGTGCCGTAATTTGCTGTTTTGCCAGCTTTTAGGATAATCGATAATTAATTTTACTTCAGAGATGCCAGAAGCCTTAAAAAGGCAATTTTCAATGTAGATAATGTCTTCAGCAGGAGAACAAAATAGGAGTGGACAGCGGGTGAGCAGCATTTCCTAACACAACCATTTAATTTCACCGTTGTTGCTGATATTTTGTAAACCAACATAGTAAAAAAGCATGAGGTGTAATTACAGTTCATTTTCAGGATGTTGTAGTTTTAACATAACAGATTCATGTCAGCAAGCAGCCAGGATGTAAATTTATCTTTGTCAAACTCCTTATCTCTCAACCTTCATCACGTTTCCCACTAAGGTCAAGGAAAACTCATGAGTAAAAACACATAGGCGGTAAATTTTTTGACTTTTTGACTCCAGTCCTTTTCTTTTGAACTTTGCCCTCTTCATTTAGCAGCTTCATTTCCTCCCACTGAAATAGCCCAGATGACATCATTCACCTTGTCATAATTAGGATATTAAACACCATGTACAAAATTACCGGGTCCGTGCCCCTGCCTTGTACAGATATCGCAAAAATTAATGAATTTGTAAAACATTAAGTGTTCCTCGAGGTTTTGCTGAATCACTGATCTGGCTTGGTGAAAGGGTTGCATGTAAAGTATACAGACATAGTTTATTTTGTAGAATTTGGATGAACCCAGCTTTTGAAATGGAGTGAGCACAGAGAGTAATAGAGACACACCAAGAGAGATTTGAAGGAGATCAACTCCATATGAATGATGTTGTGTTTGAGGCCTCGCTCAGCCATCCTGACACTGCGCAACACCAATCAGTCATTGCTGGAATGACACACACTCTGTCACAAACACAAAGACAAACCCACACACACACACAGAAACACAAACCCATTCGGTTCAATACACAAACATTAATAATGGACAGATAATAATCATACACACACAAAATGCTCATCTCCGGCTATATCACAGAAGAGCACCACGGGTCAGTGTGCTATTATTACAGGTTCTCATTCATGCAGCTGCGGTGTTTGTTTGTGTGCGAGTCCAAGCGTGTGGATGTTGGAAAGATGAGCCAATAGACTGTTTCTCACCAATGTCTGTGACAGCTTCACTGACAG